GCTCTAGAAACAGAGAGAAGCTCTCTCAAGTTCGTAAGCGGATTTAAAATAATTTTCGAGTATTCTCGGAACGAGACAGCCCACTTCGATTGTGAAATCGTTCTTGTGGATTGTGCACGTTTGGAGAATTGGACGGAGGGAAACTTTGCGAAAAAAATTGTAAATTCCTTGACTCCTCCGAGTCGAGAAATTGCAGGATTGAGAAGTTTATCGAGTTCTTGAAGTTTATTGAGAATAACGTTATATTGTTGGATAAAATTAGAGAGTTACCTATTTTCGAGAGAACGTAGGTTTTGCTCTGGAATTACAAATGGAGAGATTTAGGGTGAAATTTGTTCTTCTTCTGGAGCTATTGTAAAGTAATTGTAAGATTTGGTTTTAAAATTTATAATTGAAACTAAATTTAATATTTATTATGAAAGATAAATTTAAAATTTATAATTGAAACTGAATTTAAAATTTATAATAGAAAATAAATTTTAAATTTATAATTAAGTAGGTAATATTTAGTTTTAAAATTTATAATTATATAAATTTCGTATAAACGTGCAATTTATGATTATCCTGCCTTCCCATTAATTCACGTACGTATGTTCATACGTATTGCTATCTATCATGAGTTGAATAAATCATTTTGGTTTCAGAGATAAAAGAAAATTTACTCGTGAAAAATGGTAATCATAAAAATTGCAATACACTCGTGTTGGGAAAAAATGGTAAACAGTAACGTGTAATTAAAGTAATGAAAAGGACTCGTATATTTCGAGCACGCGTAAAAAAAAAAAGAAAAGAGCAGAGAAACACGTGGAAGGAAGTGGCCTTATAAAATAAAGTAAAAAAAAAAAAAAAAAAAGGAGAAAGGAAGAAATGGACAAGATACTATTTTCACATAGTTTCATGGGAAGTATGGTGCAGAGGAGACGGCAAACGCAAACAAGGTTGCTTCCTCCTCATTTCGCGAAAAAACACAGACTCGCGCTAATGAGCTCGTTACAGTAGCGCCATTAGGAAATGTCCGATCTCTTATAAAACATCCCACGGTCAGGGCTTAATCAATGAAGTCCGGTGTTCGTATTCCCTGCAAAAAGTGGCCAAGCCAAATGTTCGTTCTTGCAACTATGCGGCCAACGTGAATAATCTAATGAATAGAGTTGCATGCTACATTACGCAAAGAATACATTTAACATTTACTCAGCGGGACAACAAGTAATGATATAAATTTAAAATACGGCTTCGCAGATTATGAGATTAATATTGAAGTATTGATTGAAATTTATCATTGAAATTTTTATAGTATTTCTATGGAATTTTATACATTAAATTGTTAACGAGGAATGAACACACTAGATTAAAAAATTGTTACCATGATCAAATGTACTTGTATATAAAAAACATTGTATATTGTATAATGTTGTATAATAAAACATTAAGAAAAAGAAACATTGTCCTAGTCTGTTAAAATTCTAATGAAATTACAATTGTTGCGTTTGACCAACTCTTGACCAACTCTGATAAAATATTTTCGAGTGTTGATGTGAGATTCGATCAACGACGATGATACAGAAGGGAAACACGAAATGTTGAAAATGAAATTTACACGTGGTTATTCGCGCGAGGCATTAGTCACGTCGGCTGCTAAACGCCGCGATACAATCGTGTATCTTACGAATCGTTAAGTAAAACACGCCGTCAAACGAGCCTTTATCCCCGGCAGATTTAATCGGCAACAACTCTTTTAATTGCAATCACAGCTCTCTCGGAACGATGATGAATCGCGCGCCATTCCTGCAAATGCACGCCCCCAAAACGAGATCGCTCATTTTTCACTAGCGTTGAAAAATTTACGCGCGCACGCGTTCTACCGCGAAAAAGAAAAGAAAGAAGAGCGCTAGCGCGAAGAGGTAAAGATTATTTCTTAATAACGTTTCAATATTGAAGTCCAGTTTACATTTTGTACGAGTTGCATTACTTCCAGTTGGAGTGTGATAAATATTAATATATTCTTATACATTTTTACACACGTGTACGTGCGTGTCACATGTACCTATCTAGTGTACATTTATGTACGTACACGACGTATATATTAAATGATTAATCCTTTACATCATCCTGTAACTTGAAAATTACGACAAAGATATTTTATAACATAATTATAAGACTGGACGTTCAAAGTGTACGTGTATATAACATCATGCATCTACATTTCAAAAATATTATTTTATACTATCGCAAAATCGAACGTATACCATTAGAAAATGATTTATTCACGCTAACTATTAATTTCCAAGTGAAATATCTACAATAAATAGATTAAAAGATCACCAGAATTGATTCATTCGTATCGATTGAAATTTTCAAATTAAATAACTACAATAAACAAGTAGATTAATAAATAGGTCAACAATCGGATTAATCATCTAACAATTATCTTTTCCTCTTCGTGGGCAAATCGTAAGTTCCACTCACTCGCAAAAGTAACAAGTACTGAACAATAAAATCAGCTTTCTTCAGACCTAAAATATATTAACATTTAACGTTTTAAAACAGATTTGCGAACAGAGAGCAATTCTAGTATGTTTTTCTACACGTCCAGTGAGAAAGATTAGAAAACAATGAATTTTTTTTAATAATTTTTTTAAAAATCAAGATTCCATTTCGTCCGTCATTTGTGTTCGATTTATATATATTCATAAACAAACATTCAAGAAAATTTGTTGACAACATTCACTTGGAAAAAACTTATGAAAAATATGATTTTTTATCGTATCGTTTAAACAAATGGTTAAATTCATAATGGTATTAAATTCATCGTTGAAAAACACTAAATTTACACTAGAAATTTTCAATAATTTTCCGAGATGTTTGACACCCCCAATAATATGTTTCGCACCCCCAATTTTGAGGATAATTTTTTATCAACATCGACCACTGCCGATAAAAAGAGAAACGGGTGAGACATTCTTTCGAAAACTACGTTCATGCCAAGTTTCATGAAAAATCGACCATGTTTCTTTGTCGAGAGGGCTTGTTAAAGTACGTTACCCTATATTCACCGGACAGAAGCTGTTCCCCTCGTTATACCCTAACATCATTTTCATCCTGATTAACCCATAATTCCGAAGCATTCTGGTACGTTGCTGCGCCACGCAGAGACTTACAAAGTAACCGAGGCAGGAACTTTTTCAATTAGACATTCTACGTAGTGCCGGGCGTTCCTCTTCGCTCCTGCAGCCCGCCGGTTGTAAATGACTGTTAGGAAGGACAAGGCAGGTGCATGTACCTTCGCACGCCTTAATATATCGACTGTACTATACTGCGGGGTTTCTCTCGCGCGCCCACGCACGCCGCGGATGTAACTAATCGCATTCCACGATTAGAAAATCCGGGCGTGCCCCATCGCGATGCACATGTTCCGATAAACTCTGGTATTTCGCGGGCATGTTCTATACCGTTTCCGCCACGGTCGCACGATGGTACACTATTTCAACAGAATGCTGCACACGACGATTTTTTTCCAAAAAAAAAAAAAAAAAAGAAATTGGGTGGTTGTTTTAATTTTATGGAACACTATGGTTGAGAACTGAGAACTGATGAGTGACGAAATGCAATATAGAAGGTATATAGAGTTACTCGAATTACCGTGTATAGCAAAATAAATGCGTGTCGGTAAAAAGTAATATTTGTTAATATTATAAAATATTATCAAATATTATAATAGTATAAAATAAAATATTATCAAATATTATAATACTAGAAAATAAAATATTATCAAATATTATAATACTAGAAAATAAAATATTATCAAATATTATAATACTACAAAATAAAATATTATCAAATATTATAATATTATAATACTAAACTATAATATTAACAAATATTGTAATATTATTATAATACTATATATTATAATACTATTACAATATTAAAATAAAATATTATCAAATATTATAATATTATAATATATAATATATTATAAAATAAAATACTATCAAATATTATAATATTATAAAATAAAATAAATTGATAATAATATCATTATCAAATATGAATTAATATAGAGTGAAATAAAATGATAATAATATTATTATTATTATCAGATATTAATTATCTTATCGACAGATATTTTAAATATTCACGAAATATTATTATATACTAATATTCAATAATATTCTATCTTACAGTTAAAATATTTGCAGAAAATTATATATTTATAGAAATTATATATACTGTAATAAGCTGAAAAGCTAAAATACCAGAAACAAAATGAAAAATTTCCATTCAGATTCTCTCTACATAAACTTCTCGCTGCCAACTTTCACGTCTAATTCCTATCAGACAGGGGAAAAAGAATTGCTAATTGAGAATAAACGACCTCGTTCCGTTTTATAGTAGAAAAATACACTTCGTACAGTATAACATCAAAAGTGCCTTTACCTCAAGTTCACTGCTGATTACCGTATCATAACGTTATACGTTCTCATTATGATTTTCGAATAAAGCATTTACGAGTCTAATACATATTTATACAGCCTATTCCTCCATTATTTTCAACTATAAAACGCGTTAATAAAACTCGCGAATAAAATGGAGAAAAGCGCCTAACGAGCGCTCTGCGCGCCCATTATAAATAATTCAAAACGGAAGAATTAATAATAATTCGCAAAGAGAAAAATACGTAAAAGTAAAAATCTATCATTTCTTTCCCTCGCGTGAGACGAAAAAAAAGAAAAGAGAAAAAGATTACAATGTCGCCACCGTCGAATCTTCGTGAAACGTGCTGCCGCTCGAGCGTAAACGTGATTGTTCCTCGTTAGAAGATGATACGGCAACTACATGGGAAATACATGACTCTCAAGGGATTACCATATATAACGGAACGGAGGATGAAAACGGTTATATACAAAACGCATATTCTCTGAATATGCATTGTCGTCATGAATTATTCGCCTGGGCATGCCCGTTTAATATAATTGAACTCTCGGCCGTCGTGTGCTCACCTCAACGATGAAAGAAAGAGAATCACCAGGAAGGATTTGAACGGCGAGATAGCGGCTGGCGGACACCAGGGGTTGTTGGCAGGACCGCGCAGCCGTGACACCGCTACCACGCATGCTGCATGCTTCATTTCGTCGCCGCTACGCCCAGCGTCCTCACTGCAATCAAATCAAGCAAAAGGAGAGAAATATTATTCAAGGTGCATCAGAAAATCCCGTGCTTTCTTCCTTGGGACTGGGAATTTAACAGGCTGAGTGCAACATGACACCGAAGTTAAGTATCGTGGCGATCGGCGGCGATCTTTTCATTCAGGTTCGCGTTCGATCTTACAAATTTAGTAATAAATACACCGACCGAAATTACGTTGGACGTAATTGTACTGTGATGTTTCACCCATGAACAGCGTAAATAAAGTACGAACTTAACGTGTTAAATAGACTTAAGTATTTTTTCTTATTGTTACGTTTAGAAATTACTAAGTTACTAATTTTTTTTTTTTAGCAACTTCTTCAGGGACGAATTTTTTGTTAGAGGTTAGAACAAAGACGTTTAATTTCATTTCGTTTTATTTCTCAGCTGCGTTATGACGATTGGGATTTGTTTTCTGGTTGAAGCAAGTTGAACTCTTCCTCTTGCGCTAGCAACTGGTTCGCGGACCATAACGAGTGGCCAAACCGTGTACAGCAATTCGTCTTCTTTTTTGAATTCATCTGTATATCACTGGACATTTATTATTTGTTCTGCCTGGGTTGTATCCCAATATACTTAAAACTGCGAAAATATTGCAATTTTTGGCCAAATATCCTCGCCATTCCAGCGCAAGAGGATTGATAAAGATTGCACATTTATTTTTCTAACGATTTCGCGAATGGAAGTATAAATATATATACTATAGAACAGTCTATACTATACTATAATATAAATACTATAGAATAGTATATACTATACTATAATATATATACTATGGAGTAGTATATTACACTATATTACACTATAATATATATACTATAGAATATACTATACTATATACTATAATATATATACTATAGTATATACTATACTATAATATATATATATAGTATAGAATAATATATATAGTATAGAATAGTATATACTATAGAAATTATTAAGAATATAATAACTCTTTTCATAGGACGTAAATTAACTGTTCACATATGTGAAGAGGTTAAAATTAGGCGCAATGAATAATAAAACGTAATTGTCACAATTATATTAGCTTCAGTCTATATTCTTCTCTAGACTCTATACACCCGAAATATCTATCCACTAAAAGATATTTAAACTACCCCCCCCCCCCCCCCCCAAAAAAAAAGCCACAAACAACGAAATAAATATACGGGGGGAAATGAAACCACGAAAAGAGCAGCCAGATTTTAAGGTAGGCAGGTAGAACGACCAAACAGATGCTCCATAATGTTTCTCGAAAATAGAGAAGGCGACTACCGGGATTACTTCACGTCAGGCTATTAGAGCAGGGAATCACGTGGCAACGAAGATAACAATGTACGAAAGAGCCGAAGGGATATGCAAATGGAAACGGTAACCGGTCGCACAAATCACAGTGGCATTTCCAGAGATTCCAGCCGGCAGGAACAGCAGAGAGAAAACGAAGAAGAAGAAGAAGAAGAAGAAGAAGATGATGATGATGATGATGATGAAGAAGGTGAGGAAGATGAAGAAGAAGAGGAAGAGGAGGAGGAGGAGGAGGAGGAAAGCCTCCGCACACGGTTCGCAATATGTGTGCTGAATCCCTTTCTGTTGGCCCACGGTAAATCACAGAATCGCTCCCGGCATTACTCCATTTTCATCTCCGTGGAACAAGAGGCAAGAACAGTCGCGTGGACGGAGAAACGGATGGTCTCTCGCTCGCGTCGAGCCAGGCAGCCGCTCATAAATCGGCCGGACAATAAGTCCTCCGAAAGAAAAAAAAAAAGAAAAATTGCAACGCGGAAGGCATCAGATCCACCGTGGAATTTCAAGCCCTCTGGAACCGATTAATTGTTTCGATTTCCACGGAACCTCTCTCCAAAGGCATTCCATCGCGATTACGTGCCACGTTATACGAGGAGCTCACAACATTATTACATTGTCACGAACTCTGTTTCAGGCAGGAATTTCGCATCCTTGCAGCACGAAATTCGCACGGCTCTTGTTTTCATCGTAATGGCACTGCTGATTTTTGTGTTTTCGTGTCGAAACGATGATTGTCGCGTGACTGATTTGCTATTTAGAATTAAATATTTTAATTTGTCACTCGTCATATTATTTTTCAAACGCATCGACTGTCATAACATACGTCAGTTACACTTCAGTCTTCTTCTATTTACAGAGTTTCTTTATTTATTATCTAATTTTTAGAGATCTGTTATATTATGCTTCTCTTTTCAGTTACCACATAACAAATTTTATTTTAGCAATGAACACGAAATCGGTGTTCGAGAGGAAGAAAGAATAATCGTTTAAACGCAATTCAAATCTCCATTTGTTCCGACAGGTTCTCCACAAGAGCTATCAATATCTCCACGGGCAAAAAACAGAAAGAAACAACGAGTTCTTCCCACAATATCCTTTAAGCAACCTTTTCACAAACACCCTAACGAAACAGCTGTGAATATAAATTTCTATAACAAATCTCGAACAGTTTCCCAAACGAGCCCTCCTAAAAACAGAATTCGCAGTATTGTTCAAGCTGCACTATTATTACACCGAGTCCGCGTCGTGAAACGACTTTCTCTCCTTCTCTTTCTCTCTCTCGGCATGGTTATTTCGGAGTCGTCCCATGATTCGACGAAGTCGCCGCGGTAATCGACGAAATTGACTAATGGACGATCCGCGAGAGAGCAGAAAGGAGGAGAAACCATCTACCCGCGGAGGGATGATCGATGGGATCCATTACCGAGAGACGCGTGCAATCCGCCCACACCCCGAGGAACCACCACGTTCTGTCCCTTTTTCCTCGATCCTCTTCCCTCCCCCTCCCTTCGCCCTTTCGCGATCGCCCACCCTCTTCATTTCCCCCTACTCTTGTACATACATACATACACTCGTGCACTGCTTGCAGAGTTGTCTATTTCTCTCTCTCAGGTGCCCTCACGGCTCGGTGCATTTACTCGCTTACCGGTATAACTGCCGCGCCATTATAAAAACCGATCCATGCTTCTTCTTCCCTCTCCCTGAAGCCCAGTGTTCCATGCTCCATTTTATCTCTCTCGCCATCCCTCATTCTTGGCCTTTGATTCGTCTTTGATTCTTGGATCAACACCCCCGATAGACAGTGCATTTCACTGCCGTTTAACCCCTTGCGCTGGCAACTGGTCCGCGGACCGTAACGAGTGACCGAACCGTATACAATAATTCGTCGCTTTCTGTTTCTTTCTGAACTCGTCGGTATATCACTAGATATATAGAAATATACTATAGAATAGTATATACTGTAGAATAGTATATACTATACTGTAATATATATACTATAGAATAGACTATACTATAATATATATACTATAGAATAGACTATACTATAGTATATATACTATAGAATATACTATGCTAAAATATATATAAAAATAGAATAGACTATACTATAGTATATATACTATAGTATATACTATACTATAATATATATATACTATAAAATAGTATATAGTGTACTATAAAATAAATACTATAGGATAGTATATACTATACTATAATATATATACTTCAGAATAGTATATACTATAGTATAATATATATACTATAGAATAGTATATACTATACTATAATATAAATATTATAGAATATAATATAAATATTATAATATTATAGAATAGTATATACTATACTATAAGTACTATAAGTACTATAGAATACTATATACTATATTATAATATATATACTATAGAAATTATTAAGAAGTAATAAACTCATCATTTGTTTTGCTTAGGTTACATTTAAATATACTTACTTAAAACTGAAAAAATGTTGTAGGTTACTTAAAACTGAAAAAATGTTGCAATTTGGGACAAAAACTTTTCGACTTGGCGCAAGAGGTTAACCCCCGTTCTTCTCCTCTCGGGGGCGATCACCGACCATAAGAAAATACCGGAATTTATCGAAGAAAATCATGGATAGTCAATTTTTGCGTGGCCATGCTTGCAGATCTCTGGATGGCTCTTGGAAGGCTTCGAACGCCGAATAGGGGATGAACCCCTCGCGTATTCACTGCGAATCGTGAGTCATGGCCACGGTGAAAGGGCTAATGTTTTAACACTACTTTTTTTTTAGAACCACGCAGTAAAAATGACCAATTTATAATTTTTGTTAAACACTTTATAGAGATAAAAACAGAATGTATTTATTTTTATTTTTAAAAATTTAAATAATTTTTCGTGAAATTACTCACATTTCACTGTATTATAAAGTTTCTCCATTTTTTTTTTTTTCATCTTCAATGTCTCTGACGGGGAATTTTATACTTCAATCGTCGATAGTTCTAGTGTGATAGTTCTAATCCCGAGATATTCGATGTTGGAAGAAAAATTGTAGAATTAAGATAAATAGATCGAGAATGTTTTTGTGAAACGATTTTCATGAAGTCGATTGTATTATGTTAATTATTGTTCTCGCTATTTTTTCACGTGACTTCTCCGACGAATAATTAGTTAAATTGCTGAAGTAATTACTAAAATATTTATCTCAATTCCTCTGAGATTATCACGACGACAGGCGACATTACTGCGTCATGTCAACTTCTCTGGTGAGAATTGCTTTCAGAACTAGTCGGCATCACAGTGATGGGTGACATGAAAATCTCCAGAAATTTGAAGAACAACAAAACAAATTACTTTCGAAAGACAAATCACTTTCCGTACGATCCTTTTTTTTTTCTCTACGAGCGATACTATCATAAATAAATCAGACGGTGCAACAACTATCCAGAAATTTGATTAAAATTAAAACCTCATTAAACTAGTACTGGCGAATGTTACTGTAGAAGATACTGTAACAAAGAAAGCAGAGAACTCGGAAAACAGAGAAAATGGACACACCTACTCCGAAAGAATCCATAAGATTCCTCGCCGAAAGTCTTTCATTACCGCCTGGTTAAACAATCTAGGATATTTTACAAGCAACACCGGCGACCTTTGTGCCGGTACCG